GAAAAATGACTGGTCGCGGTAAAGGAGGCAAAGGCTTGGGAAAAGGTGGCGCCAAGCGTCATCGCAAAGTGCTGCGTGATAACATCCAGGGTATCACAAAGCCAGCTATCCGACGTCTGGCTCGGCGTGGCGGCGTGAAGCGCATCTCTGGACTCATTTACGAGGAAACTCGTGGTGTTCTGAAGGTGTTTCTGGAGAACGTGATCCGTGATGCCGTCACCTACACTGAACACGCCAAGAGGAAGACAGTCACAGCCATGGACGTCGTGTACGCCCTGAAGAGGCAAGGCCGCACCCTGTACGGTTTCGGCGGTTAAAAAATCAGTACAGTCTGTACTCAACAATCGGTCCTTTTCAGGACCACCATTTAATTTCATAAAAGAGAAAAATCAAATCAAATTTCATTGCTATTATATATATATATATTTATTCCAGACGAATAATAACGCCTAATGCATTTAATTTGGTCGGGGTTTTCGTAGGTAGGCAATCGTGCCGTAGGTAGCTCAAACAGTCCCGATGGGAATGAATTCCCGGTTTTCCTATTTTATGTCCATGTATCTTTAAGATGCAAACTGTACCCACAATTTTCAAGAAAATTAATGCTAATGTTTGTCACCGGAATTGTCCCCTGACGACTGTACTTTCTGCATTTTTGTTCCATTTTCGTTTTACACTTTATACCGAACACCTTACTTTAACTATAAAAAAAATGTATTTAATAGTTTATGAATTAATTATTTTAAACTTAAGCATATTTGAAAATTGTAGTTTCTTTTGAAATGGTTTGGTCGTCCTGAAAAGGACGTTTGGGTTTGAGTTTGTGTTTCTATGTACAAGTTTGACTTGGCACGCTGTTAAAACGCTTAAGCCTTCTTCTCGGTCTTCTTGGGCAACAGGACAGCCTGGATGTTGGGCAAGACACCTCCCTGGGCAATGGTGACGCCAGAGAGCAGCTTGTTCAACTCTTCGTCGTTGCGGATGGCCAGCTGCAGATGACGCGGGATGATCCTAGTCTTCTTGTTGTCACGAGCAGCATTGCCAGCCAACTCGAGAACCTCAGCGGCCAGATATTCCATCACGGCAGCCAGGTAAACTGGAGCGCCGGCACCAACGCGCTCGGCGTAGTTGCCCTTGCGGAGCAGACGATGAATGCGGCCGACAGGGAACTGAAGTCCGGCACGGTTGGAGCGGGACTTTGCCTTTCCCTTCACTTTGCCACCTTTTCCACGACCAGACATTTTCTCTTATTTCACTTTATTCACTTCACACACACGAAGAACGAATGTTGCTCGAACTCTCGATGTCCACGAATTTATACTTTTGACTCTGCCTGTGCGTTCAGTAAGGGGTGGGTCGCCACAGACCTGAAAACATTGCTTGATAAAAAGTATAAGAGCGAACACCAAAACTTTGCTGCTATGATCAGTGAATCGTGCAGTGAAGTGAAGTGAAATAATGCCGCCGAAAACTAGTGGAAAGGCAGCCAAGAAGGCTGGCAAGGCCCAGAAGAACATCACCAAGAACGACAAGAAGAAGAAGCGGAAGAGGAAGGAGAGCTATGCTATCTACATTTACAAGGTCCTGAAGCAGGTCCATCCCGACACTGGCATTTCCTCGAAAGCGATGAGCATCATGAACAGCTTTGTGAATGACATCTTCGAGCGTATTGCTGCCGAGGCTTCTCGTCTGGCGCACTACAACAAGCGCTCTACCATCACCAGTCGGGAAATCCAAACTGCTGTTCGCCTGCTCCTGCCCGGAGAGTTGGCTAAGCACGCCGTCAGTGAGGGAACCAAGGCTGTCACCAAGTACACCAGCTCCAAGTAAATTTTCTCGCAGATGCGGAGGAACATTAAAAAGGCCCTTTTCAGGGCCACAACAAGTTTTACCAAAGAAACGAGATTTTCAAGAGCCTTATTCTTATTTAATACATAAATAAATGTAAAATTTTTAAAACTAAGTTCTGTTCTGCGGTTTTATAGGGTTAATAAATGTGCAATTTCAATAATATAACCCCTTAAAAAATGTTCAAAAATGTAGTAATATATTTTTTCCTCACGACCAACGCTATATCGATTCAGTTGTTGATGCTGATCAAGAATATATATGATTTATAGGGTCGAAAATGACTCCTTCACTGAGATATGCTATTACCAAATCCTAAAAAATTATTTAATAGAGGTATAGGCGGATCTACTCTACAGTTAAACACTCCATATTTAAAACATTGATAATTTTTGGTCTCTAAGAAAATTTTGTAGCCCTGAAAAGGGCTTGTTTAAATTAATTTCAAATTTCAGAATTCGAAATCTAAAATTGCGATAATAGAGATTATCTTAATTTACTTCTTGGACGCCGTAGTCTTGGCCTTCGGCTTCTTAGCGGTAGCTGGAGCAGTTGCTTTCTTAACTGCCTTCTTGGGCTTGGCGGACGCTGCTGCCTTGGCCTTTGGTGCCTTGGCTGCCTTTGGCTTTACGGCGGCCGGCTTAGCTTTCGCTGCTGCTGGCTTTGCCTTTACAACTCCAGTTTTCTTAGCATCCTTGGCCTTTGCCTTCTCAGTTTTCTTCTTCTCGGCAGTCTTCTTGGTGGCAACGGCCTTCTTAGCCTTGGGTTTCTTGTCAGCAGCACCGGCAGCTTTCTTTGCGGTGGCCCCGGCTTTCTTGGTGACTACCTTCTTGGTTTTGACCTTCTTCTCAGCAGCCGCAACCTTTGGCTTGGCCTCCTTTTTGGCAGAGGCTGACAGTTTGAAGGAACCAGAAGCACCCTTTCCCTTTGTTTGGATCAGCTTTCCATTGGCCACTGCAGACTTCAAGTACTTCTTGATGAATGGAGCCAGTTTTTGGGCGTCGCATTTGTAGGTGGCAGTGATATATTTCTTGATTGCCAGAAGCGATGAACCCCCACGTTCCTTCAAGTTCTTGATGGAAGCGTCCACCATTTGCTGAGTTGGCGGATGTGATGGCGGGACTGCAGTCTTCTTTGCCTTTGTAGCTCCTGATCCAGATGCCTTTTTGGCGGCCACCTTCTTCTCAACTGGCGCTGGTGGGGCAGCCACTGGGGACGCGGATGTTGCCACTGCAGAGTCCGACATTTTGCTTCACTATTTCTTTTCGAAAACTAACGAAAAACACTTTTGTTTGTATAGAAATTGCAGCATACTGAAGTGCTTAAGAAAGCTTTTTGAGAATCGAGGAGGAGAGCACTTTAACTATGTGTTTGGCAGCGCTCGTTTACGCTGCCAATGTTTGCTCGATGTGCAATTTCATTTTCTCCTTTTACCTGTGTTGTGTAATTAAATGATACAAGGTTTTAAATATTTTTAGTTCTTAAATGTTTCATAAAACAGTTACATTTATTAAAAGGTGAAATAAGTCTTTGGGTCATTTTGTTTGGCTGTCTGAAGTTCAAGATTTAAATTTGTAGGCATAGCATTTCGTTAAAAATCATGTGTAAAAATATTAAATATTTTAAAGATAGTAAACATTTTTAAGAAAAAGTAAAATTTGAACCTTTTACTTGAAGAAACAATAAAAATAGTTGCATTTTGTACAAAAAAATGTATTTTAAGACCACTTTCAAACTGGTCCTCTCATTAAAAATGGTCGACTTTCTTGGTACTATCGGATATAGTTTTCGCTACCTAAAAAATATAAATATATTAAAATATATTAATTTTTGTTGATTTTATTAAAAAAATAAGTAAGTTCTTTCAGTCAATTAAGTTTTGAAGGGAATTTATGGATTCGTTTCTTAGTAATGCCCTATTACGTCCCCCATACAACATGCATATTAGAGTTTACTCGAGCCTATTACCCAAGGAGAGACGAAATTAAATAAATTTAAGAATGACATTTTTAGATTTTTAATTAATAGCGTAATTCTAATATCGTAAATGTATCTGGTGTATCAAAAAAGTATTTTATTTCTTATATATACATATATTTTTGTTAATAGCATATTTGCCTTATTGCTTGTATTAGCATTTTTATTCCCATTTCATTACGATCTCAAAAAGTATGCATTAAAAAATATACTGGATTATGTTTGAATAAACCTTTCCATACAATTGGTTCATAAACAAGTCTTTAACATAACTTTTAAAAATATCTGCTTTGTATTTCGAATTTTGTACCGATACCTACTACACACTCACTACACACATTTAAAGAACGTATTTATTTTCCATGTATACATTATGACAAATTTAACCAGAAAAACGCAAGGAGAATGTTTTATTTATAAAATGTTAATAATTATAGATATGAAAATTTATAGTGTCTCAGTTTTAAAGATATTTGTGGTCCTGAAAAGGACCGATTTGTACAAAATGTATTGCCGCTTTGGCTGCTAGTCAAAAGCAACTTAAGCACGCTCGCCACGGATGCGACGGGCCAGCTGGATGTCCTTGGGCATGATTGTGACTCGCTTGGCGTGGATGGCACACAAGTTGGTGTCTTCAAAGAGACCAACCAGATAGGCTTCGCTAGCTTCCTGCAGAGCCATTACGGCAGAGCTCTGGAATCGCAGGTCAGTCTTGAAGTCCTGAGCGATTTCACGCACCAGACGCTGGAAAGGCAGCTTGCGGATCAGCAGCTCGGTACTCTTCTGGTACCGACGGATCTCACGCAGAGCCACAGTTCCTGGGCGATAGCGATGGGGCTTCTTCACGCCACCGGTGGCTGGAGCACTCTTGCGAGCGGCCTTGGTTGCCAGTTGTTTGCGTGGTGCCTTGCCACCAGTAGATTTGCGAGCGGTCTGCTTGGTACGAGCCATTTTAGATATTACTTCTTGTCACTGTTCACTTCACGAGTCTGAAACACACAATAAACGAGCAACCCATTGCTACCTACTTATATAGCAAAACGTGGAGGGTTGAAAAGAGAGCCGCAGCAGATGCCATCTCATTTTTCGAGCACAGAGCGAGATAGCCAATCGTTCGGGCTCACTCGTGCAATGCTGAGTTTTGGTATAAATAGAAGCGGCGACGGCGTTTCTACATTAGTTCAGTGGTGACTTTCGAAGTGTTAAAATAAAAGAGTGAAAAATGACTGGTCGCGGTAAAGGAGGCAAAGGCTTGGGAAAAGGTGGCGCCAAGCGTCATCGCAAAGTGCTGCGTGATAACATCCAGGGTATCACAAAGCCAGCTATCCGACGTCTGGCTCGGCGTGGCGGCGTGAAGCGCATCTCTGGACTCATTTACGAGGAAACTCGTGGTGTTCTGAAGGTGTTTCTGGAGAACGTGATCCGTGATGCCGTCACCTACACTGAACACGCCAAGAGGAAGACAGTCACAGCCATGGACGTCGTGTACGCCCTGAAGAGGCAAGGCCGCACCCTGTACGGTTTCGGCGGTTAAAAAATCAGTACAGTCTGTACTCAACAATCGGTCCTTTTCAGGACCACCATTTAATTTCATAAAAGAGAAAAATCAAATCAAATTTCATTGCTATTATATATATAGTGACATATCCACAGTCCCATAGACTTTAGCACATGCCTACTTATTCCACATATATGTACACCCATGAATCATCATCGAATGACCATAAAGTCATTGGACACCACAACTCCACACGAGTTCGACAGTAGAATAAACACAAGTCCCCAGTAGTAGACTAAACAATTTTATTGTCTAAACATCCTTTCCTATTTGTCGCGTTCACACGCTCAAAGTTCGGACCCGTTAGCTCGAAAACAAAATTATCAAATTTCAAAAGAGCACTTGTATCCAAGAGCGAATGCACTTGAATCCAAGAGAAATTAAATAATCAATTAAGCTCTCTCTTAGAATCTTTCGAAATCAATCAAGATCCACAAAAGCTCGAAACCGAGGTTTGATCGTCACCCATCCTAGTTCAATAAGTTGAGTTCAGTTTGAGACACGAAATTATTCGGTCGGTGTTCTTCATACATACAAATATCTTGTAACTTATTTTGGTTAAATAAAAATAAAATATATTTTTTTAACTTACAAAATAACAAGTATTTAATTGGCGCAGTCGGTAGGATCAAAAATTAAAATAATCCTTTCAGTACGGTATTGGTCAACTTAAAGGATAAGCTATACAACTAGCTATCCAGACTAACGAATTGATATAGTGATTAAAAAATTGATCCGCAAAAGAATCTACGTGCAAGTAGTATTCTAAATCGAAAAAAATCCCGTGCGGTCGGAAATAAAGTTCAAATCCGAATTTTAATTCTGTGACTTTTAATACAACCAAACCAAAAAAAAAAAAAAAAAAATCCCGTGTGGTCGGAAATAAAGTTCAAATCCGAATTTTTAATTCTGTGACTTTTAATACAACCAAACCAAAAAAAAATCCCGTGTGGTCAGAAATAAAGTTCAAATCCGAATTTTTTTTAATTCTGTGACTTTAAAACAAACCAAAAATGGCAACAGTGCAACAACTCTCCGAACTACACCTAAATCAATTGCTGCACCAAATTAAGGAGCTGCATTATTATGATGGCACACCAGGGAAACTTTCAATATTCATCAACCAGGTGGATCAGCTGCTAAGTCTGTACCCAACACAAGATAATCGGCAAGCTCACATAATCTACGGCGCTATAAAACGAGTTATAGTGGACAACGCCTTAGAAGCAGTAATCCAAGCAGGAGCAACAACATGGAGAGAGATCCGAGAAGCCCTTTCTACTTCGTTCAAAGATCACAGGCCATATGTAACACTGATGAAACAACTGGAGGAGACATCATATTCAGGAAGTATCAGTAAGTTTATCCAGATGCTGGAAGCACAGCATCGTAATATCTTCGATAAGCTAGAACTAGAATGTAATCCCGTAATTAAGAGCAATTATTCCGATATGCTAAAATGGACTATCAAGTCTACTATCGATAAGAAATTACCAGATCGAATGTACATGTCGTTGGCTCGCAAGGATATTGACACTATCCCAAAGTTGAAACAAGCCACTATGGAACTAGGTCTTTATGACGCAAATCCAGAAGATATGTATTTTCAAAAATCTCACGATAATAATCGCAGGAATAAGGGAAATAAAAATTTAAATAATAATCAAAGATATTACAATAACAAACACAACACAAATTCTTATTATTCGTCTACGTATCAAAACAATAATCAAGCCAGTAACTCGAATCGAAACACCCAGAATCGAAATAATTCTACTATTGTTGACCCACAAGTCTATCACAATTTTAGGAACAAGTTAAATCAAGGTAGGCAGAATAATCCATTAAACCATCAGCCCTCTACTTCACACCACCCGAGTAGTAACGGTCCCGTTAAAAGACAAAGAGAAAGTAGTAGCGGACAGACTAAAATGGAGGTAGATGTAAATTTTCATCAAACTGCCTCGGAAATCTCGGACACGGGAGAAGAGGTAGAATCAGTCCATATGTAAGAATTACATATGAGAACAATCTTTACAAAGGTATGATTGACACAGGTTCGTCCATCAATATCATTAGGGAGAATTTTGCAAATTTGAAGGAAACTAAAGAAAACCTCAAGGTATACACAATTAAGGGTCCAATTACACTAACGAAAAGCATAATGATTAAACCCAATGTAGTATGTCCGTTCGAACAAAAGTTCTATGTGCATAATTTTTCTCAAAAATATGATTTCCTGTTAGGTCGTCAATACTTAGAAGATACCAAAGCAAAGATTGATTATGAGAAGGAGACTGTAACCTTAGGTTCAAAAACCTATAAATTCAGATACGAGGATGAAAAGGGCGAGACCGCATCAAATAGATGCCTTGACCCAATCAAAAAGGGCGAGACCGCATCAAATAGATGCCTTGACCCAATCAAAAAGGGCGAGACCGCATCAAATAGATGCCTTGACCCAATCAAAAAGGGTGAGACCACACTAAAAAAGTGTCCCAGTCCAAAAGACAAAAAGGTTAACCCCAAAATCAAACAAAAAGTGGAGAAGACCGCACCCCTAAAGTGCCTTACTCCCAAAAACAGTAAAGATGCCGAGGATTCAGATGCAATGCAATCCAATCCTACATCGATTACTGACGAAACAATTAACTTCGCGATCAATAATGAATTACGCGAATGTAACGAGTTTAGGCTCGAACACCTCAATGTTGAAGAAAAGGAATGTTTAAAGAAGGTCCTATACCAATATAGAGACATTCAGTACAGAGAAGGTGAGAATTTGACTTTCACTAGTACCATTAAACATGTTATCCAAACTCAACATGAAGATCCGGTTTATCGCAAACCATACAAATACCCCAGAGTGTTGATCAGGAGGTAAATAAACAAATTAAGGAAATGATAGAGCAGGGCATTATCCGAAAATCTAAGTCCCCCTATTGTTCACCCATTTGGGTAGTTCCAAAGAAGGCAGACGCCTCAGGTAAACCGAAATTCAGATTAGTAGTCGACTATAGGAATCTTAACGAAATAACAATAAATGATAAATTTCCGATTCCTAGAATGGACGAAATACTTGACAAACTGGGAAGATGTCAGTATTTTACTACTATCGATCTAGCTAAAGGTTTTCATCAAATTCAGATGGAGGAAAAGTCTATTGCAAAAACAGCGTTTTCAACCAAACATGGGCATTACGAATATACCCGCATGCCCTTTGGCCTTAAAAATGCACCAGCAACTTTTCAGAGATGCATGAACAACTTGTTAGAAGATTTAATCTACAAGGATTGTTTGGTATACTTGGATGATATCATAATTTACTCCACTTCATTGGAGGAACATATTTTATCATTAAAGAAAGTCTTTGGAAAATTAAGGGACGCAAATTAAAATTGCAATTAGATAAATGTGAGTTCATGAGGAAGGAAACAGAATTCCTAGGACACATTGTCACCACCAACGGAATTCGGCCTAACCCAAACAAACGAACGCAATCACAAAATTCCCATTACCAAAAACTCCTAAACAAATAAAATCATTTCTAGGATTATGTGGATTCTATCGCAAGTTCATTCCTAACTTTGCTAAGGTAGTTAAACCTATGACCCTAAAGTTGAAAAAAGGAGCGGTAATCGACACCAAATGCAGAGATTATGTAGAGTCATTTGAAAAACTAAAGGTATTGATAACTTCAGACCGATTTAATCTACCCTGATTTTTCAAAACCCTTTTCTCTAACAACTGATGCTAGCAATATAGCAATTGGAGCTGTTTGTCACAAACCATAAGCCCGTATGTTACGCAAGCAGAACGCTAAACGAACACGAAATAAACTATGCTACTATCGAAAAAGAATTGTTAGCTATAGTTTGGGCAACTAAATATTTTAGGTCATATCTATTCGGAAGGCCATTTGAAATATTAAGTGATCACAAACCATTGGTGTGGCTTAACAACATAAAGGAACCTAACATGAAACTACAAAGGTGGAAAATCAAATTGAATGAATTGATTACAAAATTAAGTATCTTCCAGGCAAAGAAAATTATGTAGCGGATGCTCTTTCCCGCACAGTAATAGAGGAAGCCATGGTTGGCGAAATTGCTGATAGCATGGATGCAACAATTCATAGCGCTGCTGAAGATAACTTAAATTACATCTCTATCACCGAAAGACCCCTAAACTATTCTCCAGACAAATAAAATGGTAAAAGGAGATGTAGACGCAGTTAACACGAGTCATTACTTTCAGAAATTAAAAATTAAAATCACATATAAAGAAATGACAATCGAGTTAGCTAAAAACCTCATCAAGGAATATTTTTGCACAAAGAAAAGCACTATTTATTTCCCAGATGACGGCGACTTTCTGATATTCCAAAGGGCATATATCGAAATCATAAACCCTAATTGTTTCACAAAATTGCTGCGATGTACTCAGAAGTTAACTGATATCCTGACGTATGCAGAATTTAAAGATCTAATCTTAAAGAAACATAAGGAACTTTTACACCCAGGTATAGAAAAACTATTAATTGGTTTAAAGAAGAATATTACTATCCTGACAGTCAGAAACTCATTCAGAATATTATCAATGAATGTGAAGTTTGCAATATAGCTAAAACTGAACATAGGAATACAAAACTTGTATTCGAAACGACACCCGAAGTCCTAAACGCTAGAGAAAAATACGTGATCGATTTTATCTAACCGGGAACCAAATCTTCCTATCCTGCATAGATATCTATTCGAAATTTGCTACCCTAATCGAAGTAAAGAGTAGAGATTGGCTAGAAGCAAAAAGAGCCCTCATGAAGATATTTAATGACATGGGAAAACCGCAAGAAATAAAAGCAGATAAAGATTCAGCGTTATGTGTATAGCATTGCAAAACTGGCTAAAATCAGAAGGTGTAAATATAACCATCACAACAAGCAAAAACGGTGTATCCGATATAGAAAGATTCCATAAGACAGTAAATGAGAAGCTGAGAATTATTGGTAGTGAACAAA